TGCAAAATAGGAATAACTCACTCATATATGGTTTAGGTGCTTACTATATGTCAGTCACTCTTCTAGGAACTGGGGGCACAGCAGAGAACAACATGAAGCTCCTCTCCTCACTGAGCTTACATTCTAGAAGTGGAGAAATAACAGATACATACTTTAGCTAGTGATGTATGCTTTGAGAAAACATAGAGCACTCAGAGAAAGCACTTAAAATAGTATCTGGCATTCCAATAGCCAAAAGGTAGAAACAACCCAAATGTCCATTAACTGATGAATGGATAAACAAAATGTGGCATATCCACACGACGGAACATTACTCAAGCATAAAAGGAAAGTAATGACAAGGGCTTGAACACGGAGGAACCTTGAGGACATTGTGCTAAGTGAAAAAAAGGCAGACCCGAAAGGTCATTTATTGTAGGATTCCATTTATAGGAAATATCCAGAACAGGCCAACGTGTGCAGACAGAAAGCAGATGAGAGGTTGCCGGGGGTTGGGAGTAGGGCTATGGGGTTTGGTAACGGGTATGGGGTTTCCTTTTGCGATGTTGAAAATGTTCTGGAACTCACTGCACAAGACTGTAAATGTACAAATGTCACCAATGTTAAATTTTGTGTTATGTGTATTTTACCACATAAAAAAAAATTGTACCTGGCATAATGTAAGTACTCAATAAAACTTACATGTTATTCTTTATAGCAAAATGAACACAAATCTCCCCAATAGAAAATTACCTAGGTGATTATGCTAAGTGAAATTAGTCAGAGAAAGACAAATCATATGACTTCACTCATATGTGGAATTTAAGATACAAAACAGATGAACATCGGGGGAAGAAAGCAGAAATAATACAAAACCAGGGAGGGGGACAAAACATAAGAGCCTCTTAAACACAGAGAATGCACTGAGGGTTGCTAGAGGGGTGGGGGGATGGGCTAAATGGGTAAAGGTGCATTAAGGACACTTGTTGGGATGAGCCCTGGGTGTTATATGTAGAGGATGAATCACCGGAATCTACTCCTGAAATCATTATTGCAGTCATCGTTTGCACACTTGTGACTTTTAGCTTTTTCACGTGTGAGCATTAACAGCAGCAACTCAGTGGTACCAGAAAACCTGCAGACTTAACTTGGATATCGATTTAAAAATAAATACATAAACAAACAAACAAATAAAAATTTAAAAATAAATTTAAAAAATTACCTAGGTAAACAAAATTATTAAATAAACTTTTAACCACTGGAATGCTATGCAGGCTTTGAAGAGAGTGAAGGTGGTCTGTAAGTACAACCTTGGAAAGACGGCTGAATTTACAGCGAGGACACAACAGGAGCTGCAGATGAGGGTACGTGGTAGGATTTATGTTAAAATACACATGCACATGCACACCCATGTATATCTGCCTGGGAAGCAACCGGAGGGATACGCATCAGAAAATTGAGAATTGTGGTTTCCTCTAGGGTGAATAGGTTGGGGGAAGGGGCGGGAATGGTTTTGTTTTTGAACTTTATACCCTTGTGTATTGATTGACTGATTGCGCGTGTATATGTACAAGACACAACAGTTTGGGAGTTTAGATGATAAGCTGAGCATGAAGAGTGTGAGATGGGGCGCCTGGGTGTTTCAGTCAGTTAAGCGTCCGACTTCGGCTCAGGTCATGATCTCGCCGTTTGTGGGTCCAAGCCCCACGGCGGGCTCTGTGCTGACAGCTCAGAGCCCGGAGCCTGCTTCGGATTCTGGGTCTCCCTCTTTCTCTCAAAAATAAGTATTAAAAAAAAATAATAATAAGATGGCCATCCAAAATTCCTAACCTGCTCCTAGGCAGTATTACAAGAGATACAGAATCTTGGACAAGGGAGGTAATTATCCATCTTGAGAATTAAAATCTTTTGGCTTCATACTTGTTATGACGAATAAAACTGGACTTGTCCCATAGTGTAAAAATCCTTCAATATCTGGAAGTGGTTTTTGCAGGTGGCCAGAGGGACAGCATGTTCTAAGTGCTAAGCACACTACAGGTGCTCGAAAAGGATGTCCCGTGTTCCCCAAGTCCCAAATAAAGGGTAAGGCATGTGACGTTCTTCAGCTTCTGGGCAACCTTTCCCCTTGTTAAAGTGCATCCCAAAAAATGAAGTTAACATAGGAACATGAGATGGTATTAAGAAAAGCCATTTACAAGTCTGAACTCTTAAAAAAAAAATCATTTTATTGATCCTTTACCATACAAAATTTATTCAAATTACACCCATTTGAAGTGGTAAGATCACAGCTAGAGAACAGGTTTACCCTGTAACAAATCTATTTACAAAATCCGTCATAAAAGCTTTTTTTTTTTTACATTATATTACATATTTTCTTTTTTAAACTAGCATACAACACGAAGCTAAACCGATTAGTAGTTTGCCTACTCCCAATTGTGGGAGAGATACTTCCTTTTGACAAAATCACGTACCCCGTAGGAAAAGAAATTCCCACAATCGGACTTGCCATACCACTGCAAAGCCATCTTCCTTCAGACCCTTCCTCTCACACACAGGCTGTCATGCACTCCTCGAGTTCTTACTCTCTTTTTCCTGAAAGATAAAGCTTTAAATACTGCAGTTTTATTTACAGATCTACACTGAAAACAACGAAAACGGAAACAGAAACCACGACGAAAAACGAA